TATGTACAATTTAGGTTAGGGGGAAAAAAGCTGTTTACAAACTTCTCTAAAAACTAACAATTTGAATGTAGGATTTTTTTCCCTAAATTTTCTCAGATGATTGTTACCTTTTAGTTACTTTAGTCTGTTTAATTTACATTTATAAAAAAAAAATTTTTTTTGCCCTCTTAATTAACACACAACATCCACATGTGCAGGCAAAAAAAAATCCTAAGTAGGCAAGCCTTACAAACCTTAAAAAACAAACCTTCCTTCTGAAATGATATGGACTTTTATGTGAGCCATTTCTTTTGTCTTTTAAGCAAATAACTGGAATTTTTCTTTGGATACTACATTTACAATGCTGTAATTCTGAGGATAAATCTTTGGTATCTTTTCCTTATTTAAATCAACCTTGAGGTTACTTAGATTATTCATTTGTGTAAGTGTGTAATGTAGTGTGTAAAGTAGTAGTACTTCCTTTGTTGGTCTAAATTTATATCCTTTAAGGGCTGTCCTTTATTTCTAGTATTACACTGAGATTCTAAATAATCTAAAATTATTTATTAGAAATTATTTCAAGTTCACCTTTGTTGTTGTTTGGTTGTTTCAGTCTTATCTGACACACTGTGACCCCATTTGGAGTTTTCTTAGCAAAGATACTAGAGTATTTTGCCATTTCCTTTTCCAGTTCATTTTACAGATGAGGAAATGTAGGCAAGCAGCATTAAGTGACTTGCCCAGGGTCACTCAGCTAGTACGTATCAGAGGCCACATTTGAACTCAGATCTTCCTAACTCAGGCCCAGCACTCTATTCACTACAGCACCTAGCTGCCCTCTGCAAGTTCATCTTATCCACAGTCTTAACATTTTTGCATATTTCAATAAAAACTAGACTTCTCAGCCTTCATTTTTCCTAACTAAAGAACTGAACAGATCAATGAACTGGGAATGCAACAACAACAACAAAAAACATAGAAAACAAAAAATTTAAATACCACATAGACATTCTGAAAACCAAATAAATTCCAACAAAACTGAAAGCAAACTAAGGAAATATAATTTTTACTAGGTTATTCTCACATAACTAAAAGACTCCTATATTCCCTTAATCATTTTCACTGCTCTTCTCTGGACACTGTTCAGTATTATTTGTCTATTGAAAAGCTGCAACCAGAGAGTTCCAAATAGTATTAAAAGAGTAGGATAAGATTGTTTATTTTGTTTCTAAATAATCTTCCTAATGATGTTCAACATTTTGTTCTTTTTGACTAGAGTAGCTAACACATTGCTAGCACATCACAATATCCTAGTTATATAAAAGTCATAAAATCAGAGACTTGATGATTTGTAAGGAATCTCAAAAGTCAACTAGTTCAACCCTTATCCAAAGCATAAACCTAATCTATATGTAATATTCCCAAAAAATAATCATCAAGTCTATCAAGGCTCTATTTTAGATTTCCATTGACCAGGAGCTCAGTAACCTATCCCACCACAGCCCATTCCATTTTGACCATGATTTGTTAGTCTAATTTTTGAAAGCTTTCATTTTGAGCCTAAATCCACCTCCATGTAATTTACACCCACTGGAAATTCCATTCTATCCAGTCTTGCTCTTTGTGGCTATGAACCAAATCTAATCTCTCTTCCTCTACAATAAGATAATGCTTTAAATAGTTGAGAACAGCTATGTTGCTGTCCTATCCCACCAAGTTCTCTCTTCTTTAGGATAAATATCCTAGTTCTTTCAACTAATCCCTAGGGTCAATCTCCCCTAAAAGACTTTTACTCTTCTGTTCTCCAAATTAAAACAATCCCAATTTCCTTAATTTCTCACAAAACTTTTCAACTCTTTGTTTGGCTTTACTGTTCTAATTTGAACTCTTTAAAACTTCATGTTTCTCTCAATATTCAATCCCCAAACTAAGCACAGTTCAATAAACCTCATTCTTAAAAGACTTCATTAAGAATTTGTGATAATTCTGAAAAGGGATGCACAAAAGCTTTTCTACGAAGAAAAGGTTTGCTAAAGCAGATCAATATTAAAAAAAATAAGCTCATAAGGAAAATGCTTAAACTACTTAAAAGAACTTTTATTAAGCATCTTCAAGTACTTTACAAACTGTGATTTTAAAAAAACTGAACATAGAAGACCTAACATTTTTTAGCCTAACCACTGAAATTCAAATTACTATACTTATGTAATACAACCACACTTCTTTTAATATATATCTATCACAGTCAACAAACATGTATGAAGCACCTACTATGTGCCAGTTATAGCGTTAAAAACCGGGAAGACAAAAAAAAGAAAAAAATCCCAACTCTCAAAGAGCTCACACTGTAACGGGGGAAACAACATGCAAACACTATGTACAAACAGTATATATACAAAACATGTTAGAGACTATCAAGAGAGGGAAGACACTAGCATTAAAAGGGATGTGGAAAGGCTTTTTAGGGAAGGTACAATTTTAGCTGGGACTTGAAGAAAGGCAGGAGGGTCAAGAGATTTAGATGAGGAAGAATAAAATTCCAAGCATGGGAGACAGTCAATAAAAATACCCTGAGTGGAAAGATGGAGTGTCTTACAAGAGGAACAGCAAGGAGGCCAGTAAGGTGAATACATAAGGGACTGTACCAGGGTGGTGCCAATGTCAAAAAGGGAGCATTTATAAGAGATATTGCAAAGGTAGAATCAATAAGACTTGGCAACTGATGGAATATGATGGGGTTAGGAGGAAAAGGGAAAGTAGGAGTAGAGAATGACACCCACATCAGGAATCAAAGTAAATGGGAGGACAGTGGTGCTCCTCAGGGTAGTATGTAAGTTAGAAAAGTGGAGGCTTTGGGGAAAAGATAACGAGTTCAATTCTGGACATACTGAGTTTAAGATGTCTACAGAACATGCAGTTTGAGATGACCAAGATACGTCAACAGAAAGGTGAGGGCTGAAGAAGTAGATCTGGAAATCACCAGTACAGAGATGATAACTGAATTCATTGGAGTTGAAAAAAATCACCAAGCAAAATAGTATAAAGGAAGAAGGGAGGAGGGCTCAGGGCACAGCCTTGGGTGACAACACCCATAGTTAGTGGGTATGATCTGGATGAAGATACTGCAAAGGAGATAAAGAAAGATTAGAACAGGGAGAGACCTGAAGCAGGCAGACAAACCAGCAGGCTTTTGTTATAGTCTAAGCATGAAATGATAATGAAGGCCTGCACCGGGGCAGTGGCAGTATCAGAAGAGAGAATGGGACATATTCAAGGGATATTGCAAAGATGATAACAAACTTGGCAACAGACTGGATATGGGGAGTGAGAGATAGAAAAGAGTCCAAGACTACTCCCAGGTTTCAAGTCTGAAGGGCTGGGAAGATTGTGGTGCTCTCAATAGTAATAGGGAAGGTAGGAGGAGGCTTAGAGGGAAAGAAAGTGAGTTCTGTTTTGGACATGCTGAGTTTAAGATATCTACTGTACATCTAGTTTAAAGTGTTTAAAAAGCAATTGAAAATGCAAGAACAGAAGTCATCAGAGAAGTCAGGGTAGGATAGGTAGATCTGAGAATCATCAACATAGAGGTGATAATTAAAACCACGGGAGCTGACGAGATGACCAAGAGAAGTAACATAGTACAATAAGAGAAAGGGCCCAGGACAGACCTCTGCAGGACACCTACAATGAGATAATGTACCATAGATGAGGATCCAGTAAAGGAGAATGAGGAGAAGTCTAACAGGTAACAGGAAAACCATTAAGAGAATAGTGTTAAAAAAAAACCTAAGAAGAAGAAAACATTAAGGAGAAAAGGGTGATGTGTCAAATACTGCAGAAAGAGATCAAGAAAGATGCAGACTGAGAAAAGACCATGAGATTTCACAATTCATTCAAAACAGTAACTCAGTATCCCTTACCATAACTAGTCTAAATTCATTAAATTATACTCTTAAAAAAGACCCTATTTATGTAATTAATATCATGGAAATGTTGCCCAGACACTGAATCTACCTTTAGGCATTCTAGAATTGGCTTCACAGAAACATTATATTGCCAATTCTTTGTCCCTTACAAATATTATTTTTCCAATTACACTCTCTCACATAGCACTGCATTAATGTTTATACCTCAAGGATCCATGATTTTATTGGTAAAGATACTCCATCCATCCTCACAGACTGCAACCCTTAACAGATGATCCTTTAGTGGAAAAGGAAAAGATAAACACTTAGCAGCCAACCTTTCAGAGATAAGCCACTGCATCACCAGGCTCATACTGGAAGCCTTTTTCACATGGAATGACCTGCCAGAGCTTATAATCCCACTAATATAACCTTTGAAAAATTAAGAATTCCTCAGCACCATGAAGACACATGAAAGTAGTATACCCTTATTCGCAGTCTCTCTGTACTATACAACACAGTTTGAAATAATTTATAATTCTGAAATGGATCCCAGAGAAGTATGGAGAGTACATCATAATAAATCTTTCAAGTCTTAATTTCTAAGATTCATATATATGTTAAATCATACTTGGAAACTTGGTCTAATACTCCTAAAGGGAAAACAACCATTAGCAAATTATTTAATTAGGGACCTATTTGTAGTTCTACTATGAAGAACAATTAAATGAACATTTATTACTTCTAAATAACTCAACTGAAAACATAATATGGCTATGCTCCCTAACCAACTCTTACAATTTCTCCCCCTAAAATAAAAGCAAGGCAAGTACAATTTACACTTCTTTGTGAAATTCAAGCACCTTTATGACTACAAGGCAGACAGGATGATAATCAGTAAAGAAGACCTCAGGTTCAAACAAATTATCGTGGTTGATAATTTGCTTATTGTTATTCCCTGTTTATTAATATTTGTCCAACTTTAGCATTTAGCTCCAATAATAACCTTCAGCCCTCTGTACTCCTATCTCTCAAAAATCAATTCTGGTTAAGCTTCCCAATCCATCAGCTGAATGAGCCAAACAGTTCACATTTATATCTATGAATTGCACTCACCATTGGAGCTTTCACAGGGGCTCTGTGGACTGTGGTCAGCTGCTTTCTCAAGCTGCTGGGCCTTTGCTTCACTTCCAGACTCCTCTACAGTATCCATTTGTGAATGTTTTATTAACAAATTGTCTGCTTTCTCTGGAGACTGTGGCTGCTGCTCCTCCTGTTCAGTTCTCAGTATATCATCTACTCTTTCTAAAGAAATTGGAGATTGCTGAGGGTTCTCCTCTTCAATCAGTGATTTCAGATCCCTTTCAGATTCTTGGCTCTTCTCTCCCTTAGCATCTAGACTGTTCTTAGCACATGATTCTATTCCTGGATCAACATCCACACAAGAATGGGTAACTTCATGTCCCGCTCCTCCCACAACAGGTTGAGAGGGAACGTCAGCTGGGGACTCATCTTTTGTGACTTTCTCTTCTATAATGACACCACAGCCTTCTGAAGGGGCCTCCTCCCAAGCCTCTTGGTCCTTCTGTTCTAATTCTTCATCATACATTTGCAGTTTTTTTGGAGAATCATTGCCACTAACACTGGTATTAACTTCCATAGCTTCTTGGCACTCTTGATCTGGGATTTTCTCTTGAAGGCATAATCCTGGTGACTGAGTCTGAGTCAGACAGAGATGGACTGGGCTACTCTCCCTGTTTTCTTTCTCTTCTTTCTGTTCATCCTCTTGACTTTCACAAGGGGTTTCAGGAATTTCTTCAACCTCAGAAACTGAAGACCTCTCCTCTGTGTGACATTCTTTAGCCTCCATAGAGACCTCCTGATCTAATGCATTTAAGTGAGCTTCAGATGGAAGAGCCTCAGACGGAAAAGCCTCAGATGGAAGAGCCTCAGACGGAACAGCCTCAGATGCAAGAGCCTCAGATGGAAGAGCCTCAGATGGAAGAGACTCAGACAGAACAGCCTCAGACGGAAGAGCCTCAGACGGAAGAGCCTCAGAAAGAAGTGCTTGGCTTTCTGAATCACATGTGAAACCAACACAAACATGCTCCATCTCTTCTCTGGTTTTGCATTCAGTGGCTGAAATGATGGTTTCATCTGTAGTTTTTATATCATCTTCTTCCGTCTTTTTACAATTTTCATTCAACTCTTCTTGACTGTCTTTTGTTTGGCTCACTGGTATACTAGAATCTTCTGTGGGACAAACTTTAGATTCCAGAGTCTGAGATACAGGTTGAGTGTCTTCAATCTGTGTGTTTTTACCATCTTCATCAATTTGCTGAGAGGTCAAACTCTCCATCTTTGTAGACTGACTACAATCACTTGCAGAAAGCATCAACTTACAAGATTCTCCCGTCAGTGACTGTCCAAGATCCTCAGTGGGATTCTCTTCCTCATTCTGTGAAGTCTTGGAGCACTCCACTGTGAGAGAGGAATTGCATCTATCTTCAGTATTCTTTTCATCATTTGGTCCCTGCTCCAAACTTGGAGATGGAATAAAAATGTCCTAAGGAAAGAAAATGAAATAAACATTATCACTTTTTCTTCACATTCACATTGCTTTGTTCACCTATAATTCACATCAGAAATCCACATCTCTTTTGTTCAAACTAGGAAGCACTTAGCCCATGATCACTGGGTTAAAAGAAATGTGTCTAGAAAAAAATCCCAGATTTTTATATTATCAGCCTTTTTCTCAAAACAAAAAGCTACTTCTTCCTCTGGCTCCTCTGGCCAAATCACAGACATGAGAAAAACAGAATGCACATAAGATATTTTTGAAGATAACAGACTTCTCCTTTTGAAGGAAGAGTAAACATTTAAATATTTGACTACATATGCTTACAGTTCCAATATAGTGTCAAACAGCTAATTAGGCACTTTAAAAATGATGACGATGAAGAAATCAGCACAAACTTGTGCAAACTTTACTGAAGGACTCTATCTTAGGAAGAGCATTGACAGTGAAACACAGAAAATACATAACTACTTAAACACAGAGTAAACTGTTCAGTTAAGATATACTTTTCCCAAGTTTTCATTCTTTCACAAAGGAGCAATGTAACCATCTTGTTTCCCATATTATGGCAGGAGATGAATGTCATTAAGCTGATTAAAACTCAAATTTAGTACAGATATTGATTCTAAAAGATTTTCCTTTCGTTGTGCCATTCTGAATTTGAATTCTGAAAAGTCATATGCCAAGCTGGGGAGATATGAATGTGCTATTATTTTAAAATTATGACATCCAATTAGGAATCAAATAAGATTACAAGATAGTTCATATATTACAATATCATGCTATATTTCAGTGCCTTGAATATTTTTTTTTTGCTGTATTGGGAAATATACAGCTAGGTCCCTAATACTATGAATAATAAATCCACTAAAGTATTTGCATTATTTGAATTTGTACTGCATGTTTCCACTGAGCTAGAATCAATAACCATATTTTACATAATTATAACTTTGAATAGTACAAATGCAAATACATGCAACCATCTAAGGGATTTCATTATTTGCACTAATTGGGACCTGGTTATATAGGTCACATATCTGAACCTACCCTAGAGCAACACCTTTTTTCCCCCTTTTTTGTGAGGAAATCCGGGTTAAATGACTTGCCCAGGGTTACACAGCTAGTAAGTGTCGAGCATCTGAGACCGCATTTGAATTCAGGTCCTCCTGACTCTAGAGTCACTGCACCACCTAGATGCCCCTTTAAATAGACATTTTTAACAACTACTTTTAAAATACGTTCCTCATTTGCCTCCACCTCGTCAAAATATGCCTCATACTCTCCAAAATAAAATCTCACAACCTTATAAAAGAACATAGAAATATATCCCATTTTAATATTAATAACTGGAACAGAAAAAACAGTTAGCAAAATAAAGTTACAAATGAGTAGTTCCAAAAGAATGCTAAAATTCTACAAGTGGAAATTACAATATACTGCTCTGACGACAACATAGCCCAGAGATGTGGCTTAGTGAAGCAAACAAAACTTCTAATAAAAATAGGGACCAGCAAAAGAGATATGTAAATACTAAATTCCTTTCAAACTTCAGGAAATAAACGTATGGCATACAAAATTCCTGTGATGACAATCTACTCATTTAATCCATAAACTGAGAATTTCTGTATTAGCAACATTTCAAACAGAGTAGAATTTAATGAGTTCTGGATTTCAAAACAAGTGCTGGCCAGGGAAGGCCATTCCATCCCTTGTTCATTTCTGGTCTTCATGATCCCAGGGTGCAACATCAGTGCTATAGCACATACTTTAGCTGAACATCAGAAGGACTGTGGATGGGGAATAATTGTGGGTTGCAAAAGAATACCCAGGATTAAGTCTATGTGAGTCAACATCCAGGGTCAACTTCAATCCAGACCAGCCAAGATCCAAATCAACAACAATCACATAGTCCAAACTGTCCTTAAGAGTCAGTCCAATGAGCACTTATTAGAGCTAGCCACATTTTACTTTCCTTTGTCAACAAATTAATATGTATGTTAATCACAAATAATGCACCAAAGTCAATATTTATATTACCAAAAATTTTCAACATCTCCAAAAGAGAAACAAAAGTACAGTTAATAATATACTTTATTTGTATAGTACTGCACAATTTACAAAGCACTTTTGCAAAAAGCAGTGCAAAATAACTATTATCCTAATTTCACTTCTCTATAACTATCTTTTATAATCAGAATTCAAGTGATGTTGATTCAGTAGCCTGAGCTACATAAGGAAAGAAAAAACACGTTAATGAGAAAAAAAAAGTTGGCTTTTTAATTGGTAACAAAATTAATTCTGCAGATACTGAAAAATATATACTTTAACTCAACAATTCTATTTCTATGTAGTTTTGTGCTTTCATTTTTCCACTGTTAATGGTCTGCACAAGACGAAATCCTTTCAATGAAATACACCTCTTTATGTACTTTCTAATAGCAGAGCTAGAGTTTTTTTTATGTGCTGTCCCATTCTTGATATTTCTTGATTGCTAATTTAAATGTAAAGTCTTACTATAACATCTGCAAACTAAAATGCATGAAATACCAAGAACAGAGGTTCTCCTAGCAACACTAAAATAACTCTTTCATAGGGCTGTGAGAGAATAAGCACTTAGATTGAACAGATTCATACAGTCACTTAGACTAAATTGAGAACCTTCATTTTTATATTTCATGACTTAAAGTACTAAAATTTAAAAGTTGCACCAATTAAGGTATTGGAACGTTTGTGTTTATCTCTGTGAAAATATGCATATAACTTCATGCACATATCTTATTTTCCCCACCCCAACCACCAGGCAGCATGATAATCTGAAAAAGACCCACACAGTGAAATAAATGGGAGTAAGCAGCTCCTATAAATACTTACATGAGAAAAGTCAGGCTGTGATGGGACAGGAAGTGGCTCAGAGGTGAAGAGGGGTGTACTCTGTGATACAGGTGTTGAGGCTTGAGGAAGCACTGTTGGTTCAGGGGGAGGATTTTCTACCTCCATTGCTTCTTCTTCCAGGGAGTTCTTTAGAACATCTTCTTCCTCCTCAGGCATTACTGACATGTCCATTGGCTCATCTGATTTTTAAAAATGAAAATATGTTGCAAAAGAGTCAGTCACCAACCAGCGTAATTCTTATTATGCCACTCCAGGTTTAAGACAGGAGCCACACATCCTGTTGATATGCTGTGTCAAAGCATATAAAAGAAAAACTTAAAACACTCCTTGTGCCCAAATTTCATGGAACTCAGACTGTGGGGTATTTATTATTTGTACTGTGAGAGCAAGCCAAAAAGTTAGAGGGGAAATGATTGGTATTTGCCCCAAAATGAAAAAATATATATTCCTAAAAGAATTTAGATGGAAACTAAATGAGTATTAATTCAAAGTAAACTGCTCCCTTGTGCAAACAAAACAATTAAGTGAATTTTAATGAAGGCATTTCCAGTTGAGGGCAATATTTTGCCTAAGAAAGCACCTCTTAATAGTACTCTACTTGTACAACTATATGAACTGCCAAACATTTTGAAGAATGGCAAATAAGTTCACCATTCTTCAAAGTGGACACCTGTATACCATTTGCTGAAACAAATTATGATGACAGAAGAAATACAGACATAAAAATAAATATCACATGATACCGAAATGTGCCTGTTGCTGGTCTATTAGCATTAGCCAGTGTTCCACGTCACTGAGATACACATAGCACTAATTGTCAGACTCATTACAAAGAAGAGAGGCCATTCTGCCCTTGCGTCTAGCATGATGCCTGTCTTGATCAAAAAGAGAACTGAACTAGAGCTAAACAACCACATTTGACATTTACTTAAATATTCACTTCACTCTAACTTCTTCTTCTCCATAATCAGTCTTCTTCAAGAAATGACCATTATTTATCCTAGTTGCTGCCTAATCTGTACTGCTCTAGAATTTTACTCTTGTTAATCCAATTACATACATGTCTCTTCCAAAATTTACCCTTGCTAAACCAGCTTTGCTATGATATTAAATCCCAATGAAATGCTGAGTCACCCTAGATTCAAACCAATAAGCATTAAGTAACTACCACATACAAGTTACTATACCAGCCATCCAGAATAAAAAGACAGTAGTGACAGAATTTCAGGGCTGGAAGGGACCACAGAGGCTATATACTCCAATCCATACCTCTACAGAATTCCCACAACATCCTCAAATGATCATCCAATTTTCACTTGAAAACCCATACTTAGGGGGAAGCTCAGAAGATCCTGAAGTAGCCCATTACATTTTTAGAAGGCTTTTAAGGAAAAGATTTTTTTTTCTCTCAAACTTTTTTTTAAACTTTACTACAGTAATTTATTTTGATTTATCAACAATCACTTCCATAAGCTTTTGAGTTTTAAATTTTTCCCCCTCCCTCCTCAAGATGATGTGCAATCTGATATAGGCTATACATACACATTCTTATTAAACATATTTTCACATTAGTGATGTTGTAAGTAAGAATTAGAACCAATAGGAAGAACCACCAGAAAGAAGAAACAAAACACGAAAGAAGGAAAAAAATAGCAAATAGCAAGCTTTGATCTGCATTCAAACTCCATAGTTCTTTCTTTGGATGTGGATAGCATTTTCCATCATGAGGCCTTTGGAAATGTCTTAGGTCCTTACATTCCTTAGAAGGGTTAAGTCTATCAATATTAGTCATCGCACAAAGTGGCTATTACTGTGTACAACGTTCTCTTGGTTCTGCTCACTTCACTCAGGATCAGACCATACAAGTCTTTCCAGGTTTTTCTGAAGTCTGCCTGCTCATCATTTCTTATAGCACAATAGTATTCCATTACATTCATATAACCCAGCTTGTTCAGCCATTCCCCAATTGATGGGCATCCCCTCAATTTCCAATTCTTTGCCACCACAAAAAGAGCTGCTATGAATATTTTTGTACATGTGGGTCCTTTTCCCACCTGTATGATCTCTTTGGGATATAGCCCTAGAAGTGATATTTCTGGGTCAAAGGGTAGGCACATTTTTATAGCTCTTTGGACTTAGTTCCAAATTGCTCTCCAAAATGGCTGGATCATTCCACAATCCACCAACAATGCATTAGTGAGGAAAAGATATTTTAAAGCACCAAGGTAGAAGCTATTGTATTTACCAGACCTCAAACTATACTATGAAGCAATAATCATCAAAACAATTAAAAGAAACCAAAAAATATATATATTAAATAAATAAGCAGGAACAGGAAGCAATTGAAAACAGTAGCCATGTGTTTATGATAAATTCAAGAACATAAATCAGGTGCTAGATGAAGGACTCCTTATCTGACAAGAAGTCCTGGGAAAACCACAAAACAGTGTGGCAAAAATTAAGTTTAGAACAACATTTTATACCATATGCTGATATAAGCTCAAAATGGGCATGAACCCTAAATATAAAAGGTTATATGCTTTTTTAAAAAAACCAGAAGAGAATGGAAGGAGGAAAGTTTCACAGCTATAATTAGGGGAAATGAAGAGGGGGGATTTCTTAGCCAAGCAAAGGATGGAGGAAAACATAAAAGACAAAACAGACAATTTCAATTACAGAAAATCAAAAAGATTTTGCATAGGACCAAAAGATAAGATGTTAAAGACCTGAAGAGAACTTTAGAAAAATTAGAAATGACAAGCTTTTAGCAATTAATGAATTGGAACAGAAAGTAATTTACATACTTCTAAGCTGTGCATAGAACTTTTCCCAAAACTGACCATGTGTTAAGGGATGAAGACCTCAACAAAAATGTAAAAAAGCAGATTACTACAAAGATAATTTACAGATATCAGTAAAAGTTATATTCAATATAGGTCCCTTAAAGAAAGAATTTACAAATAACTGCAGACCAAATAAAATAATTTTAGAGAACCGGTGGGTCAAAGAACAAATTATAAAAATGATGGAAAATTTTATCAAATAAAATGATAATACACACAAATCTATAGGATACAGTAATAGCAGTTCTGAGGGAAAATTTTGTATCTCTAAACATTTCTATTAACAAAAGAAAGAACAAATCAATGAATTGGGCATGCAATTTAAAAAATTTCAACCACAAATCAAAAATCCTAAGCTAAATGACAATGCAGGGATTCTGAAAATTAAAGAGATTAATAAAGCTGAAAGCAAAAAGGCCACTGAATTGATAATTTAAATTAGGAGTCCCCCTCAAAAAAAATTAAAACTAAAAAATAGTTGGCTAACCTAATTTTAAAAATAGAGGAAAATCAAGTTGTTCGTAACAAAAATTAAAAAAGAGAACTTACAAATGAAGAGGAAATAAATTATTAAAAACTATTTTGTTCAATTATATGCTAACAAAACTTATAACTCATAGAAAATCAATGAATACTTACAAAAATATAAAATACCCAGATTATTTATTATTTAGGTAACACAAAATCTGAAAAAGAAACTGAACAAGCTATAAACTCCCGAAGGAAAAATCGTCCATAAAGATTTTCAAATGAATTCTACCAAACATTCTAAAATCATTAATTTCAACACTATAAAAACTGATTGCAGTAAGAAAAGAAGCCACCCTTCCAATCTTGATACAAACATGGTCTTGATACCAAAAACAGAGAGAGACAAAGCAGAAAAAAAAAATGCAAACTAATATCCCCAATAAACACGGACAAAAAATTTTTTTAATTAACACATAAGTAAACTACAACATATCAGAAAGACCAAGCTGGGATTAAACAAGGAATGCAGGAGTGATTTAACATAAGGAAGACTACAAATATAACAAACCATGTTAATATAATAAAACATACACAATTACCTCAATTGATGTGAAAAAGGTTTTTGACAAAAGTCAACACTCATTTCTATTGAAAACTTTAGAAACAAATGGATAAATGAATAAATGGATCTTTCCTTTATATAGTAAACAGCATTTATCTAAATCCAAGAGCAAACATTATATGTAAGGGAGGAAAATGAAGCCTTCCCAATAAGACTGGGGAGAAAGCAAAGATACCCATTATCAACATTATTTAACATAGTGCTAACTATAGCAATAAGACAAGAAAAAGAATGTGAAAGAATAAACACAGGTAAACAAGAAAGAAAACTATCATTTTTGAAGATAAAATGATACATTTAGAAAAGCATAGAGAGTAAACTAAAAAATCAATAGTTAATAACTTCAGCAAAGTTGTAAGACATAAGATAAATCCATATAAATCATAAGCATTTCTATTTATTACCAAAAAAAAAATAAAGTAAAATAAAGAACCAATAAGAGCTAAAAAGAGAAATTCCATTCAAAATCACTATAGGAGCTATAAAATACTTGAGAGTGTATGTTCCAAGATTCAACCAGGGACTGACTATATGAATCTAACTACAAAACACCCTTTTGCAGAAATAAAGGCAGATCTATATAATCAGCCAAAAAAATATATATATATATATATCTATGTGTGTGTGTATATTTATATATATATATACATATATATGTATATATATGTATATATAAACTGCACATGGGTACATGAAGCCAATATAATAAAAATGCGAACATTAACTAAATTAATTTTTATTTAGTCCCATACCAAACTACCAAATGATTATTTTATAAAAAAAAAAAATTTATCTGCAGAAAAAATTGGTCAAGAATCTCAAAAGAAATATGGAGGGGGGAGGGGAGGGAAAAGAAGTAAGGAAGTGGACTTAGCTGTAACAGATCTCAAATTCTACTCTAAAGCAGTAATCATCACATCAATGATCCTGGGAGAAAAGAGAGGTTGATCAGTAGAACAGACTAGGTACACAACATAAAAGTAAACAAACACAATAGCATATTTCAGTTTAAGGAAAGGCCTTGCTATTTGATAAAAACTGCTGGAAGGACTGGATAGGAGTCAGGCAAAAAATTAGATTTTTATCAATACTTCATATCTTTTACCAAATTAAGCTCCAAATGGATACATAAGATATAAAAAATCATATTAAAAACAAATTAGAGGGGCAGCTAGGTGGCGCTGTGGATAGAGCACCAGCTCGAGTCAGGAGGACCTGAGTTCAAATCCAACCTCAGACACTA